CCCATTTCAACCCTGTTGAACAATAAAGTCATCTCTTGTCTTTTGCACACCAAAAGGGTCTATGTTTGGGATCAAGTCTTCAAATGAACTAAAACTAGGCAATTGGTCTTTAAATTATAGTCACTAAGGAACGTTTTTAAGCTTAGGGGACTTCCTGTCATTCTTCTCTGTTTCATATAAGAATTTTCATAGGGCAGACTCCCAAAATTTGCAAGTTAAGTCAGACACAAAATGCGCCTTATACTCCATTAACTACTAACCCAACTGACTAGCTTTCCTCTTTAACTAATTCAATAGCTACTTGTCATTATCACAAACAATTTCAACAACAAGCAAATGCAATAAGCTTTTTTTTTTCTGAATCTCTCATTTATTTGTTATGAGCGCTAAAGAACAAATTAGATTTCCTTTATACAACCATCGTCTCTCTATAACACACGACCCTGTAACTATAATGTTGATAATGGTTTTCCAATCATTTCCAATAATACGACACATAGAGACGGAAGTTAATCAAAAAGTTTTTTGATTAGTATTGAAAAAGAATGGAAATGGGAAATCAAACTTTTTATTTATTTTATTCTTTTTTAATTTTCAAAATGATAACTCGAACAAAGGAGTTTGAAGGGATTCCATTTTATTGTTGAAGCTATCATTGATTGGATATGACGACTTTAGTATTGATATTTTGAATTGATTCTAAAAGCTTTGCTTTTTGAACTTTTACACTAGTTTGTATGCACTTACGACACACAAAGGCACGAGATAAAAAAGCTAAAAGTTGTTCTACGTACTGCAATATGGTAATATCTAATGATATTCGACAGATTCAGATTGCAGCATCCGAAAAAACTTTCTTTCTGTTTTACAGAATATTGAAGACTGCACGTGCACGCGGTTAAAATCAAAATTTTGATTTTTAGGAGGAGTTCATGTTTATGCAATTTTCTTCCTCATATCTAGTTCAAAAATGAATCTAGTTTGAATATTTTTATTCCTGAATTCATTATGTGATGCAATGTTATGCATAAAATTGATTTATTCAAGTTCATTCTTCGTTGAGTTGAATTTGCAATGAAAATTGGCATTTGGAATTGCAGAAAAAGACTCCTACATTATTGTGTCATTGGAATTCAGAACATGTAATTTTTCATGCCTTAAAAGCTTTTTTCAGGATAATTCAGCTTCTGATTTGATGACAAAAATATTTCAAAGTCACTCCAACCCCAAGCAAAAATGCACTAAACCCTTTTCTCGATAGAATATGTGACATTTTAAATTGAATGAGAATAGTGACAAGTTAAAATCCACAACATTGTGTTTGTGTCAAACGGCGGTTGTGCTTAGTTGTTTATAAATTTACAGAGAATTCGACATCAATCGACTGATAGGATTTAAAAGAATTGTCATAAAAATGCTCGAAGAGTGGGTTAAGATATTTTCAGAAATTTTCCACAGAAACTCATTCAAGTTCTACAGAACAAAAGCCGTCGTTGTTGAAAAACTTGGAATATTGACAGGATTTGTAAATACGCCGTACTAAAATGCATTTAGTATACATGTCACTTAGCTTGTCAATCGACGAAATTAAATTCCAATACATAAAATTTACATTTCTGTGCACGACTCAAACATTATTATGCTGATTCAATTCTCGAATGCCACTCGAAATGCATAAAAACAGAATCAAAGCATGACAACAAAAAAAAAGTTAATGTGCCTGTAACATTTGGTAATACATTTTTATTATTATACAGTTTTTGCCACTGTGTAGTAAGCCATGCCACCCACACATTCTTACATTTCTCATGACCTTAAACTTTAATTTCTCTTCCTCAGTTGTATGCTCAGTTAAGAGATAGTGCCAAAATTATTTTTTTTTCGTAAGCTTTGTTATCTTCCCATGAAATTTATTCTGTTGGTTTTGTTCTCATTTAAAATCGACGAGTTATTTGTTGAAATAAAAAGTAGGTAAATTTCTATCCTTTTAAAAACGAAAACAATGAAAAATATCCTAAAATAGATAAGGGACTGTTCACTTATTACGTAACGCGAAAAAATGACTTCTTAGACCCCCCCCCCTCGTAACAAAATTAGTATGAAAAAAAAATTTCCTTGTTTGAACCGTAACAAAATCTTAGACCCCCCCTCCCCCTAAAAGCGTTACGTAATAAGTGAATGGCCCCTAAGACGTAAAATGAGAAATGAAATGGAAGTTTGTAAAATTGTGAGCGCATTTAATCAATAAGCTTTTAAAATCATCATTTCAAGTTTCCCTTAGAGTTTAGATTTAGTTCAAGTTCATGTTAAAATATGCATAACTTCCGTCAAGGGCGTGGAACTGAAGAATTACATTTGATCATTTCAACAGTACCACACCCTTGACTTCCGTTTAGAAAAATCACTTGTAAGTATGTGGCACTATCAACACGATCTTTGCTTTTAAGATCTCTATATTTATGATAAATACTTCAATGCATATTATAACACCTTCCTACTCGTTTAGATGTCAATATATGAGCAAGTATACTTTTTATATATCGAGTACTTAAGTGTGATTTCTAAAAATACTGCTGCTAAGCGGCGGAACAAGAGTGTCAAAGAGAACGAACAACATTGATTGCGAAGCTACTGTTTGTTCTTGATAGGAATCGAACTAAAGTCTAGCGAATTTTGGTTACTTGTTTCTATTGAAAACAGTCAGAAAAGTTGACAATACGTCAATGTTGATTATTTATAGTTTATCAACAGCATTGAAGATTTGTTCTTTGACTTTTAAAGCTAGTCAAATCCAAAAACATTAAAAAAAGCATTATTTTCAATAAATCTTCTAATATTTAATGCTATTTGCAGTCAAAGTGAAGTTTCAACAATCTTTTTCTTCTATGAAAACACAATCATAGTCTAATACTGATAATTCTCATTTCTATGTGCCTTACAATGTCTTTTGGCTGTTTGCAATCTCAATATTATTTAAAAGCAAAAAGACACAGACACAAAATTTCTCTTCTTTTTTTGTACCCATCAAAGTCCTTCATTGTTGTTTTATAACGTTTATATTATTTTTGGCAATTCAATATCCGCGGGGCTTCTTAAAGATAGCATTTCATAGAATGTACAAATGACATGCGACAAAGTGGCGACTGGAGCATGCAAAAGAAGAAAAAGAAACTAAAAATAAATGATGGAAAATTTATTTTTCATTCAAAGCTCTTTTTCTTTCTTTTGATATTGTTTTTATTGTTATTACTAAAAGCTGCTTCCTTCAAACGATTTATTTTTGTACATTTTTACGAGAATATTCCAAACATATATGTCGGTATCAATCACCGGCAATAGAAATGCTTTTTTCATGATAATATTTTCCATTTTTTTGTGAGTCGTATAATTTTTTTCAAATTATGTATGTTGTGAGTGCACTATAAAATTACGGCAAAGAAATGGAAAGAAAAGATTTTATAGCAAAATGAAAAACAAGTCAATAAATTTCTCTAGGTCATGAAGAACCTTGAACTTGATAGTTACTTATTATTATGGAATGTGCATTGAGGGAGCATATAAATTGGCATTTGTTATCTTTATTCTTGTGTAATTCATGATATTTTGAGAATAAGCGACGTTTATTGATGAAAATTAAGGAAGTTGTTATGTAAAATTCTGCTGTTTTAATTTTGATAATTTATGAAGATTCTGTTACATAAATTTGTTATCTGAGGGTGGAGTAATTAGACGAAAATATATTACTGGATATTTAAAGCGTTAGTGATGCGATAATATTGGGTTCTATTCTTGTATACAGATTCAAAAGTGCCTGAACCTTTTTTTGAGAAATGGCCGTTATTTTTGAATGCCATAAGTAAACAAATATCGATAATAAAAATAGATTAATTTGATTAAGCTATATAGTCAATAAAAAATTACATTTTAGGTCCAAAAAAGATTAATTTACAAAGCATTCCAATATATTTTTTGTTCGATATTCTGTTGGGACTTGAACCTTCGACTGCTTTGACAGTAGTCGATCTTTTAACCATTTCACTGTTATAGGATAATTTAAATCTTACTTCATTTTGGAATTTTGATCAATACTTTCTACCAGAGTTGCGATTAAGGACGCCTGTCACAGGCACAGGTGACAGATTTGTCACAGATATTGTATGTTAACATGCAGTGCCTGTGACAGATTTGCGATCTGCATTCTACTGCTTGCATTTCATATCTGAAACTGGTCTGATGTTAACGATTTGTTGATAACATGCACTAATTAAATTCTTAACAGCTTCTATTCAGAGAAATTTGTATAATTGCATTTTTATTTTTGTATTATTAAAAGTTCAAAAGTCTGTAAATGTTTCTTTAATTAAGGATTATTATGGCTTCTTTTGCTAATTATATGATCAATCTGAGATTCTAAAGCTGATAATGTAACATTATTGCGGATAAAAGCGCTTTGATTTTCATAAGAATTATGCTACACAAATAGAGTTATGTAAGAAGCGTGGATTGAATTAAAATCGTTCATATAAATTCCTACAGATTCTGTTTTTGTTATTATATCCGGTTATATCCTCCCATGTTATGGAATAATTGCTATTTTCCCCACATCTAAAACATTTCATCACATTATTTTTATTAAATCATCGCTTTCAAAACATTCAATACTCGATTGACTAATAGATTTTCAATTGGGAATGTCCAAGTCCTACGAGAATAACAAAACAAATCAAAATATTTTCGTAGAAAGTTCAAAAGAAATTAAAAGTGATTGCTCCGAATTAAAAGAAATCATACATCACATGAGAAGTATGAGTGATGACTAATTCGACACCCTCGCAAAATCAAATAAAAAAATTCACTTTCGATTATTAGAAATCCGAAAAATATAAAGTCTAAGTACATTAACCTTCGAATGGCAATGAATAAGTTTTTATTAAATATTTTTAAGAATTATAAAATTTTATATTAATTGAATTTCACTTTTTACATTCATTTCTCTCTAGGCTAATGGTTTGGCTTCAGTCGGTAAATACGCAGCTGGCAGTGTTGTAGGAGCTGGAGCTGATGCAACACTCTTCGTTGCCAACCACGCTTACTAAATAGCTAGTGAGAGTGTCAAATGCAGCAACAACTACATTTAATATAAGAATCATTAATGTGTAGAGTAAAATGTTGCCCCAAAAAAAAAATTATTAATATTAAAAATGAAAGTAAATTAAATATTTATTCTCGCGTATCCATTAAAAAAAATCTTCTTTCTCACTTGTTTTTTTGTGCGCGATAAATGCGCAACGTTAAAAATATGATAAAACAAATTTTTAGTGCTGTATAAGCTAATGGAAGTTGATCTTTGTGAATTTATATGTTTACATGCATGAAATAAGCCATCATTACACGTACACACAAACACACATAAATTAAATAAAAATGGCATATATATGTAATATGAAGAAGATAGGATATATGTAAAGTATATCCATTATTCTAATTCATAATATGGAAAATAGCTGATAATAATTATAATAAAAATAACAATGATTTGTAGAGCTGAAATGTAGGAGATAAACAAAATCAACATCAGCACATATGAGACATATTCAGATCTATAGTTCATGTATTTTCAATAAATTTGAATCTAGAAGAGCAAGCTGAGGATGATTTTGCTGAAATGGAGGTTTTTATGAATTTTTTGTCTAGACTTGGTACACAATTTGTGGTTATGTTCTTATTTTGGAGGTCTTACATCACATCGTTCTAGGTTCCATCTTAGATTTGACTCAGAATCTCAAACATAACCTCAAAAACCTATCCCAACCCTAGATCCTAACCTCAAAAAATCTTCAATTTTAACCAGATCTTCTCAAGAGATTTTAAAATTGTATTTAATAATTTTTTTCGATCCTCTGTATGTGCTTTCTTGAGCATTAAAATCAGTTAAGTCTTTTAGATTATAATTTTTTGGTAAAACCTTATTTTCTATCAAATAAAAAGTTGTCGACTTTGTCGCAATTATTTAATTAATTTTACCATCCAACAACAAAAATAAAAATAAAAGTATGAACAAAAGAGAAAATTTTGCTATTTATATCATTTTTTTCCTTTTGCAATTTATTATTTCTTCTTGTCTTAATTTATTTTTATGTTTTTTAGATCAAATTAAATTGACATTTTTATTTTTTGTGAAGGAAAAAAAAAGTTGAAATAAAAGAGTTAAATTATAAGACAAATTATCGTTATTGCATAAGAGTTCTTTTTCTTGATATTAAATTAAGTTTTTTTCTTATTCCACAGGCTTACAAGAGACTTTTAATTTTGGCGCGAAAATTTGCTGGATTATCATGATTAAGTCTTAAGGTTGAGTTGAATCTAACTAGTTTACTAGGCAGATTGTTTGATATCATTTTAAGATTCAATTTTTTAGGGTTTTAGGAGGTCATGACATAAGCATGACCCTCTCACATCGGGATTGAAGATTTACATTTCAAAGATGGCGTCGTATTGCTGATATGCTATATAGCTGCACAGTCAATAGTATTAAAAGAACGCGTTCTTTTTTCTTCTTCAGGTCTTTATCCTGGTCTATTTTGCTCTTTTTTTTGCCACATGGGATGTTTTTTTTCACATTTTTCATCCAAATTCAATTAATTCATACATTCAAAATCTAATTAATAATCAAACGGTATTTAAATTAAAACCTTAAAGGTTGGTGTTAAATATATTTCCAAATGTAGCTAAACATAATTCACTAAATAAAAGCACTATTATTATTATCCTGGTCTTCATATGAATCTTTAAGGTTATGTACCCGAATTTTTGAGATTATGGACTTAAAACTTTTAGGTTATGTGCCTAAATTTTTGAGGTTATATTCCTTATTTTCAAGGTTATGTGCCTAAATTTTTGAGGTTATATTCCTTATTTTCAAGGTTATGTGCCTTACAATTTTGAGGTAATATACTTAAATCTTTGTGTTTATGATCCTTATTTTTGAGGTTATTATTGAGGTCCTTAAATTTTGTGGTTATGTTCTTGACAAATTTGAGATCTATTACAAAAGATATTGAGCCCTACACCCAGTATCCATAAGATTCTTCCCCATCATTTCAACAATAAATAGCTGTTCTATCCATTGAAACAATAAACATCTGTTCATCCTACCATTTTGCCTCTACTAATTGATATCCCACTTGACAAAGCACATTATAATGCCAAATGTAGAATCAACAGCATTAAATCAATTTGCGCGTGCTGTACATTAAATCCATAAGAGCACTTCTAATTTTTTGGTCTTATGGAAGAACTTTTTGGCATGTTATGGCATTGTAATAATTTTTTCTATAGATGATATTCTTGACTTTATGGAATAAGAGTTTTAAACCTTTGATTCAGAGACTTTTTGGAGCTTTTAAGTCAGGTAAGATGAAATTAAATTATTAATCTTCATTTCTTCTTATGAAATAATGATTAAATTTCATAACATAATTGCATTTTAATTGAATTGTGTCTACTCAATGCACAGATATCTTGAGTTACGTAATTTTTGAAGATTTTGTAATAATATTTTTGAATTTCATCGTAATCAATTACTGAAAAAATAGAGAATTTAATTGAATCAGAAAAATAAAATCGATTTTTGTTTTGTTTTGCATTTTCAAGGTTAAAGATTGTGTAATTTTTCTTAGAAATGTGACAAAATAATGGGTAGAGGATTACTGGGCGTGGACTAAATTGAAGGAGTTCACTCGCTGGAGATTATCTAAAAGGTGAATTAAAGGGTTTCAGGATTGCTTCCAAAATTTGCTCACCTGTTTTTTTTATAAACTTCAAGCATGCTTGTAAACGTGAGTTTTTGGTTTCCTCAGTGACTAGGTCGTAGGTCAAGCTTGTAAAAGTGTTATGAATATCAATTCGTATTTATGAATCTCATTACTATAATTCATATATTAGTGTCAGCAGCACAATGCACAAAGCATTCTAATAAGGTGAATAGACTCAATCCATCTCAGAGTGATATGGCTTATGAGGAGAGAATGGGGGATCAAGAATCACTACTTTGAAAGAAATTGGTCAATTTAATAGAGTTTTTTTTGAGAAAAGTCATTCCTTTTATAACAAAAACCGTTCAATATGCTAGATATAGTCAGCAGATAATAAAAATTACCTGTTAAATGCCAATAAAATCATCTCAAGCATCAAAAAAGAGAAATTTTCACCTTGTGGCTTTTATCATTGACATTGAATGCTTCATTGTGCTCAGTCATTGATACGAGAAGCTATGGAAATTAATTTCTGGTCTTCGTCGTCGTTGTGCTCTTTAAAAAATTATTCTTAAATTCTTTTCATCTGTTTTCTCGTCATCACTCTTTGTTTGCAGAGCTTGAAATCGATTCGAGTCAAATTTGAGTTGACTCGAACCCTTTCGACTTCGAGCTCTGTTAGTTTGTTTGGTTCTTTATGTCTATTGTGTATGTGATTTTTCAGTTTTAATAGATTGCGATTTTAGGCTGAATGAGATATATAACAAATTAGAGGAATTCCAAAAATTACAATCAGTAAATATTGAATTAACGAACTTTTCAGATTTAAATTTGATTCGTTAAAATTAACAAATGTAGTTTCACACCCTTGTTGTTTACAGTTTTTGCTAAGGTTAGTTGCAATATTATTTCAAAGAATGAATTTAGGGATCGTTTACTTATGACGCCCGATATTAACGGTCATTTTTCAAAAAGGACAATCGAATTCCAGGAATTCTTGCTGCTAACCCCCCTCCCCACCCTGGACGTCATAAGTGAACGGCCCTTTAATTAAATTTACTGATTGGTGAACTAAAAATGATTTAATTCTTAGATCTTTGAATGAATGATTCCAAAAAATCATTTTTTAAAGATTTAAGTAAGGGGCTGTTCACTTATGACGTCCAAGGAGGGGGGGGGGGGGGGGGGGGTTAGCAAGAAAAGAACAATAAAAATTCCTGGAAATCCATTGTTCTTTTTTGAAAAATGACCGTTAATTTCTGACGTCATTAGTGAACGATCCCTAAGTTTATAAGAGTAAAAATTCCAATTTTTCCTCACAAACTGAATCTTGTCATCAATTGCTTATGCACTTTTATAGAGAATGAATCATAAGAGAGGAAAATAACAGCAAAAATACATTTTAATTACACCACAATCTATTTTATAAGCATTCATTTTAATATAAAACAGAAGCTATTGATCAATTAGATGTTAATAAATGCTAGATGAGATGTCTATTGAAATAAACGTTGAATTTAATGAAAAGCAGGTTTCGTCTGCCTGAGAATATTAAAAAATTCATAAGATAGTTTTCTGATGCAATGCAAAAAGTAAGTTCTTTTCATTATTATTTATAGTGATAATGAGAGGGAAAAGAGACACCAAGTAAGTACAAGGTTTTGTAACGAAACAATAAGAAAAAAAAGTAAAATGTGGAAACAAACAGAATCGTAAAACCTCAGATGCGGAAAGCTTTTATATGATTTCGAGGAAATTTCCGCTTTGTGTGGCTGAATGACTGCACGTTAAGCTGACTGTCCCTTTGAAAAATTATTTAGCATACGGTTGAGCTTCTTTTGTTCATTTAAAGATCATTTTTATTTTTATTAATTAGAGCATGTAATTTTTTTAAGCTATTAAGGACACAGATTTGAGCTTTTCATCATGGTTTATGATGTAAATTGTAGGTTATGCCAGCTTCTAGAAATTTAGATCATTTTCTAGTTTCATGCATGAGAGTATATGAGGGCAATGCGGTATTGAGGAGAACAAAAAAAAATCAATAGACTTCAAGCTTTTCATTTGAGAGAAAATAACAATGATGTTGTAACTGTGCAATTTACTGTCTAACTACTAGGTAATAATTTTAAAACTTTTGCTGACTGTGGTGCTTGTGGTGGAAGGATACTCAGATGTTATTCGGAATAATAAGATGGAAGTACTCAAAAATGCTCAATATGAGCAGAAATTGAGTCGAGCTGGACATTTCTAAACAGAGTTTGAAGCTACGATTTTAACATCAATCCAGAGCTTGAAAATTCAGACAAGTTAACTTAAAACAATATTCAATACATCTTCTAGCTCTACCCGTACCCATGCATGTATGCAAAAGCTCATTTGATAATTTTTTCAGTCGAAATCTTACATATAAAATATTCCATATGACTTCATTTCCACTCCAATTACTAACATAATCTTCTTAATATGATTAAATCTTTATTTGCCATGGATTAAGTAACCGAATTTTCATGCATCCCTTAATACTAATAAGCTTATATATGATGATCTTACTTCATCTTCTAAGAATATATATTATAATCATTAGGAAGTTTAATAATAAATGATGCAACATCCAAAATTTCTGTTATTGATTTTTTCACAAAGCAGATGCTGCATGCCATATATTTTTGACATAAACATTATGAATTTGAACATCATGAAACATTCGAGCATAACAATTGTATTGTGAATCAACAAATATGCTCCACATGTCAAATGTCAAGTACGAGCTCTCAACTTGTTACTTTTTTTTTTGTTTCAGCTATCACAGAATGAGCAGTGTAAAGTTTATCTTAGTCTTTAATCTTCATGAAATCACAATCATCATGTGCTTTCATCCTTTTATTATTTCACATTTCAGAACAAAAAAAACTATTGTGTTTAAAAATGAAGGAGCTTCTCAAATTAAGATTCAGTTGAGCATGAAATGGAAACTTTGAGTTTTCCCATCAACCAGCAGGGAAGAGAGCAATAGTAAGCGTAATCAGTAGTATCATAAATCTTGTCAGCAAAAGTTCTATAAAAAATTTCATAATATGAAATTTACAATGAGAAATGAGATGAAGTTAAGATGTAAAGCTTGCTCTTTAGGACATTTAAAGCAAAATAGTTTGACTTTTCGTCATTTTGACTAATAAAAATTCAATCTTTGTGAAAATATTTGAAGAAATTGAAAAAAATTTAAATTAATCATTTAACAGTTATGAAACATTTGAATTGCGATAGTTATTCAGTAGTTTAACACCCCTTTTGTTTATTTTTCAGAAATTGATAAGGGGCCGTTTAATTACAACGTCCAGGGGGGGGGGGGGGGGGGTCAGCAAGAAAAGAACAATAGAAATTCCTGGATATCCATAGTTCTTTTTTGAAAAATGACCGTTAATTTTGGACGCCATAAGTGAACGACCCTTAAAAGAGCATCTATAAATTCAATTTAGATTAAAAGAACGTGTTTTCTGTTCTATTTAATCAGAGGTCGAAGCCGACATGAGTTCGCTCCGGTTCGCTAAAAAACCGATCCTATAACCGGTAAATTTGTATAGAATGTTATACTTCACAAGTGACAGCAGAAAAAATTCTATTCAAATTTGAATCGGTTTTTTAGCGAACCGGAGCGAACTCATGTCAGCTTCGACCACTGTATTTAATTAATTAAGCAGCTGGAGAAATTCTTCATCTTTTTCAGCATATTTCTAGCAATTAATTCATCAAAAGGAAGCTTTAAGCTAGTATTTACTTAGTAAAATTGCGTCACAGTCATCCGGTCATTGATTTCAAACGATTTTCAATATGATTCTTTTATAATTCTATACATTATTCTTATTCCCATCTCAAGTTTATTGAGAAAAATCAGAACGCGAGAATCTCAGTGCGAATAAAAGCTGAGAAGCTAAGACTTTTTTTTCTCCTGAAGCGCAATTACATTTTTTTCGTTATCAACGCTCTTTTAATAACTGTCAGCGGCAAAACTTTTTCTCAGTTTCATACAACATTTCATTTCAGAAAAAAAGCGAGTGTTTTTTTAATTCATTTTTTTATTCCTCAAATAAGTCAGTACACGACAAGTACAGTGGATGTGATTATAAAGAAATAAATATAAATTTTGATAATCGTAGTTAAAAAATATTAGATGAAATGTTACGATTTAAGAAGAGCATTTACAATTGTATCAACTCACAAAGGAAGCAATTTGTTCGTCGTTTTTCAACTCCAACATTACCCGAGTTTGCAGATGTTGTTATCATAGGTACACTCGAATGTAGTTACATAAAATGAAAAAAAAAAATACCAGAAGAAGAAGAACCGAGGGAAGCGAACAATTTATAACTTTTCTCCCTCATTCGTGCATTCTATACGATATTTTCCACTTTATCACTTTTCACATTCAAGCAAAAGTGCTTTTTTGTGCAACCGGAAAGTGGATAAATTGAGAAACAGAACGATAGAGAAAAACTTCCTTAAAAATTCTTACATCAGCACCGCTTTTTCGATTACATAATAGTTTGTGATGCTACTTTTTTATTACCTGAGCAATGCTCCGGTGCTAATTCAAAAGAGCGAATGCAATAAAATGTGCAGAAGTGCTATAATTTTTATTTCATTGCGACATTCTGCAAGAATATAAAATGACATAAGTCACTCCAGCTTCTTCTATTTGATCTCTCGGGGGTTAAAAAATTCGATTCCATTTTGCGACTGGATGGAAAGAAGAAATTTTATTTTTCATTCAATCATTCAATTGGCAATCCTCGTCCTTGTTGAAAATAAAAGGAAACACTTTATAGCTTGTACATAAAGCATTAACAACAAATTTGTTGTTTATTTCACGATGAAAAGTAAATTTTTTTTTTGCTGAGTGTCTTGCTTGTTTACATTTGACGTCTTTGACTTTTTAAGAAGAAATAATTTTTATGGATGTGTTTTTTTCTTTGAATGAATATGACTGATCACTTTGTCTTAGGGGCTGTTCACTTATTACGTAACGCGAAAAAATGACTTCTTAGACCCCCCCCCCCCCCTCGTAACAAAATTTGTATGAAAAAAAAATTTCCTTGTTTGAACCGTAACAAAATCTTAGACCCCCCCCCTCCCCCTAAAAGCGTTACGTAATAAGTGAATGGCCCCTTAACTTACGCATTAATATTCGAATTTCATTTTCTGAGTGCTTGGATGGGAATTTCGATACCTGAGTCATTTACTTTTGACATTATAGCTGATTTTTGAGTGATGTAAATAGTGAAAATTAGACCCACGTAGTTGAGTGAATCAGCAGATGAGTAGATCAAATTTTAAATTGACTTTATTGCTACAAATTGCACATTTTGTTCAATACAGCTTATATTGATCCCCTCGGATTTGCTAGATTTTGTATGGTTCAGTGCCATTTAATACGATTAAATTTAAATTAACCGATTTTTACGGCTAATAATGTCGTTTTTGGAAATGTGATTCTACAGCTTTGCATGAATGATTTTGTATAATTGAACAGCAGTTGTGTATGAACAATCCATTGCTGTAGTGCTTTTTTTCTGTCCAAGAACTCAAAATGATGCAGAAAGTGATTTAGATCTTATTATTATGAATAGGATTAGAACTTATGTCTAGATCCTATTATATCTTCCTATTATATCTAGATAAGGTATCTTATAACTTATATCTAGACCTTATCTAGATGCACCATCATAACTTACAAGCCTCTCACAAACTCCCAAACCCACGAAAACTGCGCTCATATCATCCATTCCATAAACAAACATTTATATTCTTATATTTATACTCTAATCTGTGAGCGTCTAAGTGAGTACAACATAATATTCTGATTCTGACCCGAGCTTATCAAAAAAGGTGAAGGAGGAATATTTTTCAGTATAAGTGTTAGATAAGAAGCATTATGCTCTGTACTAGACCTCTTCGTCATAATCAAAAACAAATTTGACCTCTTCTTGTATATTTGCTCTACACTCAAGCAAACACTGCTCACTTCCATTTCGATTAAATTCTCTCTCTTACATTCTCACTTCCCCCACAGCTTTGTGTACAAACAAAAAAAATGTGAAATCAAAAAAAAAATATTATATGCCATTGAACCTTACTAGCAATTTATGGCATATAAATTTTAATTTTTTTTTATTATTTATAGGTGGTGGGGCTGCTGGTTGTAGTACACTTTATCAATTAACAAAACGAGGTGTCAATGCTATACTTCTGGAACGCGGTCAATTAACTTGTGGAACAACATGGCATACAGGTAGAGTGAAATTGGAAATTTTCAAATTAATCGTCGGGGAGTGTCAGTGGTGAATGCTTTTATTGGTTTGAGGTGGGTCATTTATATTCGAAAAACCCATCACCGTCCATTGGCATACCCCAACCTCCATCAATATCAACAAATTTTGAATAATTCATAATATTATCAATTTTGTAGCCGGTTTGGTATGGAGATTGCGGCCGAATGATGTCGAAATTCAATTGCTAGCCACCACGCGTGAATTGTTAATGAATTTAGAATCGGAAGTAGGACTGAACAGTGGTTGGATAAATAATGGTGGATTATTCATATCCCATACACCACAACGAACAAACGAATATCGTCGATTACAAACATTAGGTCGATGTTTTGGCATCGAGAGTCACATTTTATCGCCACAGGAAACACAAGAAGTTTTTCCATTACTCGATCCAAAGTCATTTACAAATGCATTATATTCACCTGGGGATGGTGTTGTTGATCCAGCCATGATGTGTGCTGCTCTTACTCGTGCATCAACAGCAAATGGTGGTCGTGTGTACGAGAACTGTTCAGTTGATGAATTAATTGTTGGAAAAACGTTTCTAGGGGATAGAGAAGTTCGAGGTGTACGAACGCCACATGGTACGTAACTTGTTGTAATATAAACAAAATTCACCATGAAAATTAATAGCATTTTAAAATTAATTAACATAATACTTTATATATTTTAATAATTAAAGGTACAATAAAGACAAATACAGTCATCAATGCTACAGGTGCATGGGGAAACGAATTATTAGAACCACTCGATATACACTTGCCGCTTGTTCCAATGAGACATGCTTATGTCATATCTGAGACTATAAAAGAAGTGCAGGGGATGCCTAATGTTCGCGATCACGATTTCAGTCTCTATTTCCGTATTCAAGGTTGAACTACAAACTTTATATTGAATTTATACATGCAAATTGAGCTATACTTGTTTACTTAAGTCAGAGTGCGGATTGTTGAGTATTGATGTGATGAAGGTTCTAGAAGATTTTAGTTTTTAACTGCTTTGAAGTTGATTCTTAGGATTTTAAGAACTCAACTACGCTTAACTGAAAATTCAAATCTAAAATTTAACAGACATCACTTAACCCTTCCGTATCCTGACTTTAACAAATACTTTTCATTTTATTTTTTGCATTTTTTCGTTTAACTCAAAATAGGTCAATCCATTTGCATGGGCGGATATGAAAACAATCCGATTCTACTTGATAAAGTTCCATCAGACTTTCAATTTGGTCTTTATGATTTGGATTATTCAGTATTTGATACACACATTGAAGGTGCCATCAAACTTTGCCCAACATTTGGAAATGCAGGCATCAAAAGTACAATATGCGGACCCGAAAGTTTTACGCCAGATCACAAGCCGATTATGGTAAGAGATATTGAGAGAAAGCATGAGAAGAAAGTGAAATTAGAGAATTAAAGGATTCACAAAAAAATTCGAGATGATGGAATGAATCTTCTTATATCGTTTAGCTTTTTTTTTGCTTTGGGTAAGCGTAGTCATAGTAGATTTGACTGACTTGCTTTCCAGGTCAACTTGCATGATTACTGCAGACAGATCGATTTCTGATTTCACTACGGATGAATAATCAATTATTATGACGAGATATGAAAGTATTAGAAATTATTTCTTTCTACTTGAATATCTTCATCCAATCTCTTCTTATTTCTTATTGATCGCACTTTCTGTGGAACTATAAATTAGATATTTGATTACAGACAATAGTGCAATTTCCATTCTTATGAATTTGATAGTTTTGCTTCCATCTGACATTTTAATTTGATTAAATCTAGAATGTCTCGGATCGATCATTCAGTCTTGGAGATTTACGATAGTCTGGAGTGCTTTGATGTTTCAGACAGTTCTCAAAACTGTTTTGATTTATTATATTTTTCAAGACATTCTCTGTAAAAAAAGTTCCACTAAACAATGTCAGAATATAAAATTATTTTATAGCTCTGCGGAACTTTATTGTGTTTTCTGAACAAGTTCAAGGAAAAGCAAAGAAGCTATACTGCCAGATACTCAAGTGGTATAACCTAGACGCGGTAAATATTCTCTGTGAATTAATTTAACCTAGAAAATTCTGTTAAAGTCGGAGATTTTCTAGTTATAAACTGGAATTGTTGAGTAATATCTTTGGTAGTTGTATGCTATTGGGTAATATTGCTTGTTATCTATTGGTAGTTATCTCGATGGTGCTCATGAGCTAAACGCTGCACCGCTGAGAATGGTTTATGTGTGTTTGTTATGAAATGCTTTCATTACTTTTATTTTAAAGTCAATTCCCAAATAATTTTGAGGTTGAAAAATAGTACAAATTTCCAGGTTCAATGCAATCTATAAAGGACTTCATAGAACTGTTGTTGTCTTTATATAGTTTAGGTTAGAGTCTAAACAGTGTGCCGTGATACTAAAAAGGCTGCTGAAACCTTCAAAGAAAGGTCATCACAGCCAGCACATTTAATTGAGCTTAAACATAACTAATTCACATAACTTCAACTGCTTTCGGTACTAAATTTCCCACATTAATATGATTTAAAATGCATGCATCGAAAACGTGAATCAGCGCTATCATTAAACTGTTTTTTAATAATTCTCTGAATCTCGTGAATATTCGATTCAAGTTCACGTGCCATTCAGTAAAGCAATTTAGTTTAAAAATTCAACAAGGATTGCAATATTGATGCATCAGAAACGATTGATTTTTACTTGAACTTGGATTTTTTTGATTTGTTTCTTATGTGTAGGATGTATGCAAGGATTGCGATTAAGCAGAGATTGAAGTTGATTCGGATTTTGCTGACTAGATTTTATACAAAATTGTAGGCAGAAACATAGCTAGGGTTCACTTCCGAAAGTTTCCGTCCTAAGAAAGCCTATTAAGCTCTGCTGTAAAGTTGACAGGGCTGGTTTTAGACTGGAATGAACTTTATTGAGTTTTTTCCTGGTTCCATAAATCCAGCAATATTGAAAAAGTTTGTTCTTACATTTAGACCAGCACAAATTGTCACCAAAGTGATTATTGCAGTACCTTTCATTTTCTCGAGCCCATAAATAACAGATTACATAAGAAATGCCTTAAAACTCTCCAAGAACTTTAATAAATCATTCGGAAGGAGAACTTTAAATTATAACTTAAGAATCCGATTTATTCAGCTCAAACATTCTTACATACAACTCTTCCCTCAATGCCAATGCCACAATCAATAATTTCATTGTAGACTGAAAAGAATTTTTGAGAATCTTCCTGTTATTTATATTTTGCCGCTTTGTGTACACGAGCTCTTATCATATGCCTTATTCATAAAGAGAATATTTGAGTACAACAATCAATCTTCAAACTTTTCAATGATAAGAGCCATCACAGCACAAAGGAATTTTAATCCTTTTTGAAGCATGTCGAGATGCGCCTCAACTTTGACATTTTCATTCCTCAACTTACATATTTAATTAATCTCAATATTCTTCTTTTATTCTCATTACATAAACAAAAATGAAGGGACCAGATCCAAATCTGACGGGATTATTTCACAGTTGTGGATACAATAGTGCTGGTATGATGCTTTCCGGTGGCTGTGCAAAGCAATTAACTAGCTGGATTATTCATGACAGACCGGATTTGCATATGTTTGCATATGACATCAGGAGATTTACACCACGACAAAGAAAGGCTTATACATGGGCTGTGGAGAGGAGTCATGAAGCCTACGCAAAGAATTATAGTATCGTCTTTCCAAATGACCAACCACTGGCTGGTAGAAATTATTTTCAAGATCCATTCCATAAAGTAAGTGTAAATAGCAGAGATGTAGCCAGGGCGGATATAAAAATTGATGAAAAAAAATCTAGAGGATGTGAGGGGGTTTAGGCCCAATCTGACCTCCTTGGCTACGCCTATGACAAATAATAATATTGTCGGTGTCAATTTTTATATTAAATATTTTTTATGCCATTAACACGCTCTTATATTTACAGATACTCGTAAATAATGGCGCTGTTATGGAGGAAAAAGCCGGTAAATTGTACAACAAATGACATAAAATTTAATACTGTAATCTACTCTTTTTTTGTGTGTTTATTTATTCTCGAATGTCCCCATAAAATAAAGGCTTCGAACGTCCAGGATATTTTGTTGATGATGGACCGATTCCTGTACAAAAATATGATTGGTATGGATATTATGGACGAGAAAAAAATACAAATACACGCTATGTTGACAAACTTTCGGGTGATTACAAGTTCGAGTTTTCCGATCATCATGAATTGGTGAGATTTTTTTTTATTGGACATTATGTCTTCTTGTTTTTATGCCACACGTAAATATTATTTTATGGTGGAATTTGGAATCGTGCGGTTTCATTGATAACATCGTCATTTTTTATGACCCCAATGGCGGACTTATAATAAGAAACTCAGTTATTTCTCACTAATATTCTACATAAATTAGTAGATATTATTATGATTGATGAATATGGTTCGAGGTCGGACAACTATTTTGATCGCAATCTAATTGATCAAATGCGTGTTTTCTGAATAAAAATATTGCATAATTATTTCAATAGTAAAATACATTGAGCACTATCTGAGCACGTTAAAAATATATTGCGCTTTATTTGCACAAAACGTACTGATTGGTGCGTACTATCTAAAAGATTTATAATAATTCATATTGCGCATTATTAAAGAAATTTTTCTTTGTGTACTATCTGGATAAAATATTGCGCATTAAGTGATCAAAATATTGCGCATTAAGTGATTAATAATATTGCGTGATATATGAAAACGACAATCAGTAAATGGTGCGCATTATATGTAAGAAAAATAATCTCACTAGTAATCCTAACGTAAAAGAACCAAAATCATCAAAACAAAAAATCTCTTCCAAGAAATATGACTCTTCAGTCTTAAAGCACAAAAATAATGCAAAATTCCATAAAATCTGTCTACAAGACATCAAACGACTAAAAATACTGGCTTAAAAGTATTTTTTTAGCATTTTTCTTTGAAGTACTTTTCAAGCTTAAAGCATCAAGTATAAATACCAAGAATTTTACCACGCCATAATTTACACAATATTATGAAAGCTTTGTAGTTCAACCTTATTTTTTTTAAAAAAATTTCCAACAAATTTCATAAATTTTTAAACAAGTTCATTTAATCCAAGCTGGTTACTGGATACTCTCAATACTTCTTCACCTTTAGCCAATCTCGAATCTGTCAGTAAAGAATTTTTAATTTCAATCTCATCATTCGCCCACTCACTCGTGTTGATTACAGTGTCTTTTATGCTGTTTCTTGTAAAAGTAGAGCACAGCATTATTGATGATTCAACATCCTTATAGATTTTTATGAGACTTGTTGGTGGTTTTTCATAAATTACGTTGATCAAAAAGTGGCAAATGACACCACAAACTCTTCTCCAAACTTGGTCATCATTAATGAACGACCCCATCACCCTAATTTGATATTAAATTGATCAAAAGAACTTTTATTTTACGTTCGTAAAACTAATCGAGGAAACTTTTTTATGACTTTTCTTCTGTTTTCGTCGACCGAAAAAAAAAATCGATTAGATTGGAAAGGAAGCGCAGTCTTGTCGTGAAAATGCAGTTGTATTTAACCAGAGCTATTTCTGTAAAGTTTTCCTCACAGGACTTCAAGCAGAAGAAGCTGCAAAATGGATTTTTACTGCAGATCTTAATAAGCCATCAAATAAGTATGGAAATAAACGTGAAACTTTTTCATGAAATTTTGCACGTACTTCTTCTACCTTTTATATTCATTCATATTTCTTTTCATCACTCGTCATTTAGAACGATCTATACGTGTGCCTTAAATAGTCGTGGGGGTGTAGAAATTGACTTGACTGTTACGACTTTAGATACTGCCAATGAGGAGTTAAACGATCCGACTTTCAAAGGACGAGGTATTTATATCTTACGCATGCAATTCTAATTTGTTATTTAAATTGCTTGAGATCGACATGTCATTTTTCTCACACAAAAGGATACTATTGTGTTGCCGGTGGAGCGTCTGCTTTTCATACAATTGCACATATGCGAGAAGCCATACAGGAAAAAGGATTTCGTGCGAAATTGTTCGATGTTACGCACGAACTTGGCATTCTATCGATTCAAGGTTTGTAATATTTGCTTTTAATAATCGATAGCTTGATTGGCTTGGGTGTGCTGGTGGATGGAATGAAGCCTGAGTGTAATTTTAGACTTGATCGAAGATTTATTGACTTTAAGGAACTATTTTTTAAAGCTTAAATGAACTTAGTTGAGCTTTTTAAAAACCAAGTTGAACTTTCATCAACTTACTAAAGCTTTTTTGAACTTAGTCGAGCTTTTTGAACTTAGTCGAGCTTTTTTGAACCTAATTGAGCTTTTTTGAACCTCGTTTAGCTTTTTTGGACCTAGTTGAACTTTTTTGAACCTGGTTGAGCTTATTTGAACCTGGTTGGGCTTTTTGAACCTAGTTGAATTTAATTGAACTTAGTCAAGCTTTTTTTAACTTAGTTGAGCTTTTTTGAACCTAGATGAGCTTTATTGAACTTAGTTAAACTTTTCTGAGCTTAATTGTGCCTATTCAAACAAAATTGAGCTTTCTAGAACCTATCCGAGCTTTTTTGAACCAGATTGAGCTTTTTTGAACCTAGTTGAACTTTCCTGAACTTAGTCGAGCTTTTCTGAACTTACTTGAGCTTTATTGGACTTAGTCAAACTTTTTTGAGCTTATCTGAGCTTTTTGAACCTAATTGAGCTTTTTTGAACCTCAATGAATTTTTATATAAAAAATGTTTGCACATTTTCCAACAACTTTCATCCGATGAATAATTCATTCCTAATTAAATTCCATGCCTTTTTCATTAAAAGGTCCAAAAAGTAGAGAAATTCTATCTAAGATAACAAATCACGATTTGTCAAACGAAAGTCTAGCTCCAAACACAGCAGCAATAGTGAAAATAAAAGGGAACGATGGAACTGATTACAATGTTCGAGTTTTACGTGTTAGTTTTGTAGGCGAATTGGGCTACGAGCTTCATATTCCAAAGGAAACGTGCAACGATGTTTACAACATTTTAATGAATGCTGGTGCTTCATATGATCTAAAGAATGCCGGATATCGTTCACTGTATTCACTGAGCAGTGAAAAAGGTTTGCGCTGATAAAATTTCTCAATTTACATAGTTTCGCGTGAACGTCATTTGTATGTATTTTAACAGGCTATCATTTATGGGGCTTTGACTTGCGTTCCGATGACACACCGATTGAGGCAAATTTGGGATTCACATGTCGAAAGGATGGCTTTAGGTACAAAGGAAAGGAAATTGTTGAGCAACAACGTCAATCTGGCGCATACAAACGTCTCGCATACTTGACATTGAAGGAGAAAATTCCGCTTTGTAAGCTTGAATGACTGAATTGCTCTATAGAGAAATAATTTTTCATTGCTTAACAATTTCAGTTGGCCTAGAAGCTGTTTATCGCAATAATGAAATTATTGGACACATGAGACGAGGAGAATGGGCATATACTCTCGATTGTGCGCTCGGTCAATGCTATATAAAGCGTACAGACTCCAATAAACCAATCGATATCAATTACATAACATCAGGAAAATATCAAATTGAAGTAATGGGAAAGTTATATGATGCTGATATTCATCTCAGATCGCCATTTGATCCAAAAGGTCGCAGAATTCTCGGTGAATATGAAAGTTAGATGGAGATACCAATACATTGGATAAATGATCTGATGGGGGAAGTAAGTCAATGGGAAATGATGTAACTTTTTTATCATTTACAAGTTTTTCCCATTCGAGACTGTGTCTTGCTAGTTTGTAAGTTTTAAGGCAATATTTTTTTCTTTTGTTAAGCTTGAATTTAATAAATGTTTTAAAGAAATTCAAGTCGATCTAGATCGATTTTTCTCATGAATTAATTATAAAAGACAGTAAGTAAGACTTATGTTGGTCGTACGCGGTAGAAATCTAGTATAAACTGCCACATGAATGAGTCAACAAAATTGCGTTGTTGTTTTTAATTACTTACAGCAATTTAATAGCACTGCTATAACAAAGTGGAGATAATTTCATTATGTTGCTGTTCCATATCCCTGTTTATATTTTGTCTTCTTACCGATAATGACATTTACAAGATTTGATGCTGTGTGAAATGGTTCAGGGATGATGTTTATTCCAATTTATTGTTTGTTAAGCTGTACACGTGGAGCAGTTCAAAGAGATTCTGTTGGAATCAACAAACAAGGAAGTATGACTGGATTAACTTTTGACACGAGTTTTGCAGTTACTTTTTAAAAATTGAGCAGTTTCAGTTTGTAACAGTCAGAAAATATTTTAAAATGATCAAACGAAAACGTTAAGGGGCACTCAACTATGAAGTTTGTGATGTTCAAAAAGTTTACATCGCAAATTAAATCTTCAACACAATTCTGATAAAAAACTTACAGCCTGTTTCACTAAAGTGGATTATCTTCGATTTCGGATTATTCTCTTCAGTTTTTTACAAATATCTTAAACTTTATGGGAGGTGTGGTATTTCTAATTTTGGATTATAATAGAGTGAATTATGCCTGAAATTTTTGTATACTTTAAACTTTTACTTTTTATTAAGAAGTATTAATTATTCAATTTTCTAGCCAAATCTAGTAGATTAACTTCGATTTTTGCTATAATTCTCAAACTAATGAAGAAATAAAAATTCTAAGTATATGTTAATTTAAGTAGCAAAGTACTCGAACTAGATCACACATTAGATCTCTTAAAAGTCTTAAGTTTCTGAAGTTATTTTCAAAAAACTGAAGTGGATAATCCGAAATCGAGGATAATCCACTTTAGTGAAACAGACCATTAAAGTTTAAATCTATTCCAGCAATAAAAGTTCATTTATTCTTGACACCTAACGATCAGGGGCGTAGCCAGAAAATTTTTAAGGGGGGGGCCCATCTTCGAAAATTGAAAAAACCGTTATTTTGTATCCTTAAATCTATATTCATTCTTCATAAGTTTAAATATTTAATTCATTATTCATACATTAAATTTAATTTTCCGTGCTCATTTTGACATTTCTTTCGTCACTTCCTCTACATTAACTGGTTCTTCTCTATAAATACTTAATAAAACAATTATCAGATTTTCGTAGGGGGGGGCCCGGGCCCCCTATGGCCCCCCCCTGGCTACGCCCCTGCTAACGATATAACTTCGTTATAAGTTGCTGCAAACTCTTCTTGATAAGTAATGCTAATTCAGTAGCATTAAACTGATGTAAATTAAGTCTTTCCAGGAAAATAAATTAATTTTTATTATCTGTTTTCAATAAAGCTGAAAAAATACATATTAAAATGATAATGCTGTGTCATGATTATCTTTTTGTTACTAATTCAGATGATTTCATTGTTATTTGTCAGAAATTTACTTCGCAGGAAGCAAATTGGGATTTTCCAACAAAGAATCACAAACATTTTAACTTAATTATTGCTGAAGTGTTCTGAGAAGATTAAATGGAACCGCAAAAAATAAACAAATGATTAAAACAACACTTTAGATTCTATTATCGCAAATTTCACATTCCAATGCCTCACTGTGATACTCTTAATCAATAAAAATCTCATTTCATCGGTCATTTGTCTAATACTTTCAAGCATGACTAAAATAACTGCGTATAAAATGTTTATTTAAACACATTTTCTCTTAAAGTATTATGTCGTTAATGGTGAAATGCTGATAATCAAGTAAGTCGAGCAACGATTGAGGAAAAGAGGTAGAAATTCTTTTAAAAATACTTCACATTACTCAAGCTTTATATCTTGAATGACAATCCTCGAGATTTTTCAGCACACATTCCTCATTCTTGCATTCAGTGACAGCATAAAAGGGTTCGTTCATGAGTGATGTATAATTCTTTGATTGTGGGTCTAGGTGCTACATAAAATTCCGTAAAATAGAAAAATTCAGAAAAGAATCAACTTGTTGCAATGTCAAGTTGCATTCCCCTTAATAAACTAAGTGCGATTGATCCTAGTTTTGACAAACATCATTTGTAAATGTTCCCAAACATTTCAACACAATTATGAAATTACAATGGATCTTTTCACTTCTCTGAAGTGAATTGCTGAAGTTTTTATGTCAATTTATTTTTTATAAGTCAATCATTTTATTGGCATTTATTGTAAAATGTTTTCATCAAAATTTTTAAGCAAATATTTTTAAGGATCATTGAGATGATTCCATGACAAGAGAAAGTTTCTTTTGTTGAATGTCTTCAAGGATGTGAAAAACATCTTAATAAAAGGAAGTCTTTGTAAATGAGCCTTTTAAGGGCTCACATCCGTTAAATGTTTTTTTTTTTTTTTCGTTAAAATGATATGTGACGTTGAGATGAACATCGATGGCTTAAAGCGATTTTTTTTTTGATGTCAAAGTTTATTGGAAATTTTTAAAAGGTTCCAAATAGATTCGGTACGATAGTACTAAAGAGATTGATAATAGCAGATTAATAGGTTAAATTGATTTTCTGTCATGCTTCTTAAGATCCTTCGAAAGGAACTTTGTGACTATAAAGATTCAAAATTGTTGGAACTTAAGGTTCAGTCAGCAAGATTGGCATAAAATCTCTAAATGCTATGCAAAGTTTTGCATTCCTAATGCAGCTCATATTATCCTTAAAATATATTTATTTTTAATAGATCTACAAAAAACTCCAGTAAGTCAATCTCTATAGTTAAAGACGTTTGGAGCCATCTAACACAGAGTCCAAAAGTCAAAACAGTTTTCGTGCATGTTCAGCTTCAAGTACATAATCATTAAGTTTCTCTCAACTCCGTTAGAATTTCATAAAGGATACAAAGAAAGGAAAACGAAGAAAATCAATTTAATGAAACATTCGGTCCTGTGAGTTTTTCTTAAGCATGTGCTGGCGACCAATAAATACTCTAATATACTTTACGTCTGTTCTTATTTTCTCACAAATATTTTCGTATAATAAAACTTTGGAAAAGTCAAAAATGCCATATTTTCATTCAAATGTTTGTTATTCACAGACAATCGCATTATGGACAATTTATACATGCTTTTGGAATGTCCTCATTCATGTATTAGCTAATTTTTCACATTATTTATTTTTGTCATCTATTTGTTTTTTGTGTGCCTCCATTTATGCAGCGAAGTCTCATAAATCTTTTATAAAACATAAATATAGTCTATGTGGAAATGAATGGACAGCAATGCTATTCTTCATATATGGAGATAGCACTTGTGTATAAAACGGCAGAGAAGGGCAAGTTCATGGATATCAATAAATTTTTAATATTCATATTTTCTTTAATAAATACCAACGATGCAGCATTGACCATTGAAGGCAAGCTAATTTTATACACATTATTTTGTTGTGCTGTGTCTTGTGCTTTCTGAATTTGTTTTTCTTTCTGACGAGGGATTTCCTCGAATTTACGAAGTAGATAAATCCAAAAATATGATGAATAAGTAAGCTAGTCTTTTACTCATCGTGTATTAATAGTAAGATTTGCTGTATTTTTGTAGAAAATCATTCTCAATTTTATGAACATCACGATGTTTGTTTTTGACTGAAAATTACTTTGTTTTTGTGGAAATTGACTATGAAAATGAGAAAATTCAGAAAAGCAATCAGTATACGAACTCATTAACATCTTTAAAGTCTTGTAGAGATTTAAGTGACAGATGTCTACTCGATATCCATTTGCCTTGATCAAAAAAAATTCGATGATTCACAGAAAGTTTCAAATTTTATTCCATAAATCATTGAATACTTCATAAAACTCCACATAAGATTCATACCAGACTGGTGCTATCCTTGGATTCCAAGTAATTCAATTCATTTGAACAACATTGTAAAGAATTCAATTTAATAATGCCCACCTACATATTATAGTTCTATATATTACTAGCTGTCAATTGATTCCGTTTGATAATAATCAGGAACATATTTAAAGATTCTTAAAGAAAGGAAATCTTGCTGTGGGTAGACGAATATCAGCAGTAACATATGTAATGTGGTCATGGACTCATTTGATTAGGAATTGAGTTCGATTCCGAAGAGTGAGCTGAAGTGGCTCGGTGGCAGAATGGTTTAGTACTTCGGTACATAATTATTGCAATACTGACACAGCGATCATGGGTTCAAGACTCGGCATGGGAAAATTATTTTCACTTGTCCTTTTTCGAATCATATGTACTGGAAATGAGGCTCACAGTCTTCCTTTGTAGGCTACAGGCAGAAATGTCATCAGAGGATTGGTTCGGATCCCACTGTAAACTGTAGATCTAGGTTTGAGCGGGAGGTGTGGCGAACCTTCTCTCGTTAAACTATCAATAGCCTTGTAAGCCTTGTAAGCTATCAATAGCCCGCAGCTATGGGATCTTTAAGGTTTGAATGCTTAAGTTTATTTTTTTTAACTCACTTGAAGAATCAGCCACAATAGAAAATTTTCACGAGCCGTACACTCCAACAACATGAGCAGGATGAAACAAGCTTATGTCATAAAGCTTGTAAACAATTTATGAATTAATGTACACAAGACGTAAAGAATGCAACAAAAGAGAATGGAAGAAAGGAAGGAAGGAAGGAACTATGGTAACAATTTTCAAGACACACACTCATCACATCAGAAAGATCAAAATCCATTAATTTTATTGAATCTTCATTCTATTCATTTTTTCATTAATTTATCTATATTCCACTAAGTCTCGTCTCATCTTGATTCTCGTTTCTCCGCTTGCTTAAGGAATAATTTTTTGCTATATAAAATCGAAGAATAATGTTAGCATGCAAACAAATTTATAGCGATAACTTCAATACAAGAGTCACACGAGATTTGTGTGAAAAGACACGTGTGTGGAGGAGATTATGTTGTTTGTCTTGATTATAATTCTAGCGATGCGATATTTGAAGCTGATTTAAAAAGAGTAAGTCAGCAGGTTTATATTC